CCTCAAGGTCAGAAAAGTTCTGATATTTTCAGGCTGAGGCAGATGTCATCCCTGCAGATTAACTTATAAAAATGAGTTTTGCTGACGTACAAGTTGAATGGGACAGACAACACTACTGAGTGTTGAGCTTACCAGGGTCCACAACAGCAATATACGGAAAAAGTCTAGGTGAGCTAAAAAAAAAAAAGTAAAAAAAAAAAAGTACAGTAATGGAGGAAAACAGAATTCCTGCAGAATTAGGTAGGATTTTGGACATTTTCATAGCATTCTAGTATGCTGTACCCTATTTTTGATAGACATCCAGTCAAGTAGTCTAATAGCAGTTTTTTAACTATATCCAGTGGCCGTTTTCTGCACATGTTGTCACAGGTACTACAAACATAACAAAGAACATTTGCTCTGGTTGCTGTGCTGCATGTAACTGGCAAGATCCACCTGAGGATCTGATACTACAATATGTGTTACAGAAAATACTGAACAATGGTACACTATAGAAATTGGATGCATGGTTCAAAGAGAATTTATGGTGCTGATGGAAGCTGGATGGGGTGAAAACATGTAGCTGTATAAAAGTCATCTAAAATATTCTCAGACCCACCTGGTCCCTCTTACAGGAGGGGTCTGGTAGTTTGCGTTCTTCTGTAATAAAAAAGTTTATTGGGCCTAGCTTACATTACACTCACAGCCTTACTTTCATTATTATTTATCAGTCTTCATAGATGCCATTGACAACTTTTACCAGGATTTGATATCTAATTCTGTGAAAATGTTTAATAATCCAGTTTAGCTCTGATCTTTACAGAACTTTAGAAACACCTAAATTTCATTAATTACTTTTCAGATCAACTGCACACGCCATTTTTAATCCATTTAACATATTATTGATATTGCATAGCCTACATTTTTTATCTGAACGTCTCAGTGTTAGGTCAGACATCTTAAAAAACAGTATATTAAAATGAATAGTAACCTTTATCAACTGACTTGTACTGCCTTCCAGAAGAGAAATCAGATTTATTCAATGCAACTTATTTTCCATAAAGCCATTCTAAGAAGTATAACTATACTCCTGTGCTTTAATACTTTAATTATTGAATTTCATATCAGATTTTCATTATTTTAGCCAGAAATGAGGTCAGACTAACTGACCTAAAAATACCTATCCTGACTGCCTTTTCTGAATATTGACTCAATATTATCATTCTTCTAGACTACTCTAATACTTATGGCTGTGTTATAGTATATATACACTTACTTTGAATACTTACTCAAAATGAGGATCAGCAAGAGTAAAATTCCTTAACCAGCCCTATCAAGTTGTAAACTATAGAAGTTCTCAATTTAAAAATGCTACTTCTCTCTAGAAATTGTTTAAAATCCTCCATTGGCTACTAATAGACTGGGGATGTTTCATCATCTTCATCTAACATCAGCCATCTTCCTTCCAGATACAAACCAGAAATATTCTTACAAGACTTCTACCTTTGCACAGTTACAGAGTTGCTTTATCTAATAATGGGTCGTATCCATCCTGTAATAGCTATCTTATTACTAGTACATTTTTAAATCCTATCCCTTTAATATTGTTCTTTGGCTTGCTACCCACAGATTTCGTCTTGATATCTTTAGCGTCTTCTCCATCCTCCATACTCTATTGCTGCTCATATTTTCAGGTTATTATCTATAATCCGTTTTCCATTTCATTTATATTGCCTTTTTATTTCTAAATATTGTGTTCTCTTTCCTATCAAACTGAAATAGATAGTTATAAAAAGCTACCCTCTAATTATGGAACTGTGGTTTTTTGGTTACTTAATAAACTATTCCAGTGCACAATTTCTATTCATATTTTCTACTCACCTGTATCTTCCTCATAACAGCTTTGGAGAAATGAGCTGCTCTGAATCAACCTATTTTAAGTGCCCTGTTGGTTCCCACTGAACGTAATTTAGGACATAACACCTGATCCCTATACCACTCTCCAACAAAAATAAGTCCAATAATGACTTACAACATATTGGATACAGCAACTTTTGTTTTTAAGTATTTCTTCCACAACTTTTAGAAACTATTATTAAATTTTACAATCTAGCAATTTTAGTTACTTGCATAAGTGTCCCAAACTGGGCTCCCCATAGCAATGCAATGCTTTATTGTACATTACAAATATGTGCTTATCCACTAACTTATCATATTCTCTAATTTGAAACAGTGGTGTATATCAGACTCCTCCCAGAAACCCCTCCCCCAGGTTTTGTAACTTAGTATATTGATCCAAATGGATTCAAGATCCTGTGGTTCTGAGTTATCAATAACTCTAAAGGCAAGTAACTGTGTCTGCTATAAACAGAAAGAGCCTCTCTTCTCTGAAGTTCCTCTGTTGTCCTATTATTAGTTGTAGCTATTAATTAGCAATGCTGAAATGATTTAATTGTTGTATGTTAAAAGAAGAACTATATAATGTCATGAGAGACATGGAACGGCTAGAAAAAGTAACTGCATTCGATTGATTAACGAGAAGATTACACTTGCACTCAGAAAAACAAGTAAGGCTTGTGAAGTGATCAGAATAGCAAAGATAAGAGGGTCATACAAATATGTTAAACAGGTTAAGCAAGAGACAGTTTAAACTTGATTAAACTTGATCTCTATACAGAAAAACTTATCTGAGTTACTGAAACTTGAGTGAGAATCAAGGTCATGGGAAAATTGACCGCCAGCTGGAAGGAGAGAGTAGAAATGAGACCAGACTTCAAAGGAAGAGCTGGTACAGGAAGCAGTACTGCTACTTCTTATTGTGCCACCTCAATGTTCCTATGCAGGTTATAGCATCAGATACGTAAGAGGTATTTTAACAGGATTTACTTGATATACTACACAATTCCACTGGAACACCAAGGATCTTCAACTACATTTTTTACAGTGGTATACTGTGAATCAAATCTGATTTCAGAGAACTTTTTTCCATAAATATTTAGTACCTAACTAAACAAAGCAATCTACCGAGGAGCTCCCTGTTCATCAATATTTGACTTACAGACAGCAACGTTATTTTCAAAAAATCTTTCTGCAGAGGAACAGTAGTCAGCAAAAATGTTACTTGAAATACGCATGCATGTTTTTTATCCAGGGGAGACACTACATATTTAGCTTTATATAGAAACTACATATTAACTTTCTTTTCACATACAGTACAACCATGTAAATGCTAATGAATATTCACGGTAACTAAGAGAGAAGCAGTCATCTTATTCAACTGTGATTCAAAGTATCATAATAGTTGCTAATAGGTGATTTTCCTCACTACAGCTACTTTTGAGAAAAGAATATCTTTTACTTTCTCATTTGCTAATTTTTGACAAACTTTTCATTATGGAAGTATGCAAAGTATTGATAGTACAAACACTTGTTTATCTCATTGTCTATAATTGCTACTGCAGTTTATTCAATTAAGTCATTCCAAAATTCATAGCAGGTTGAATGGAGACTGAATTGCATCTCCCTATCATTCATGACATAGGAGTATTTAATTTTAAAAAATAGATAACACATTAGATTAATTCAGACTTTCCCATACTTAGCCAAAAACAAGCATGCAGCTGTGGAAAGAACACTCATTTCTTCCTCTTAGAGGAAGCATTCTGTATTAGAAGAAAGCACATTTTCCCCCACGAAAAGTAACAGTTTGTTCAAGAATAGGCAAGATACTTCTGAATCACAGGGCACAGTGATCAGTTTTATACCACTTTCCCAAGGGTTATGAAACAAGGCAAACAGAAGACAACCTTTATTTTAATCACAAACTTAAAAAGGAAAATAACTCATTTTTTAAATAACAGCCACACTTTTTCATGAAAGTCAATCCTCATTTTCACCTTAGATATGTTAGCTTATAATTTCTTTGAATTTAGGATTTTAAAGTCCATTCAACATTGTTCAGCCTTTTTTCATAATAAAGTTGATGTGAATTTTGCAACTGAACTGAACATGGGATCGTTGTAGAATGACTTGTTATCTAATGATGACAGAAAGAAGCTAAAATGCACAAGTACTTAAGTTACTAAATTTTAATCCATAGTGGAAAGTTATTCATGAAGAGATAACTATATATGCCTTCTTTTTACAGTGCATCAAAATACCACTGCTCTTTACTTCGTATGCTATCAGACTTGCTCAAACACATCTGAAAGCAGCTCACCTCTACAGAAATCCAAGAACAGTAGAGAAGTCCATCTGTTTCATGGGTTAGTAAGATACAACCTTGTCTGAAAGTAGGTATATAGTAGATATATGCTAAATTCAATAGATATATACAGAATAGGCATTATAATTCTTAGTTACATAGAGGGTATTTCAGAAAAATAAATAATATTTATATTTCAAATATTAAGTTACAAAACACAGATTAGTCCGTTCTGCAGAACTTCACTCTGAAGTAGTATGATGAAGTGATCTGTATAACACCACACAGTATTATTGCATGATCACTGTAGCAGATTATTAAGTATTTAACCAAAATAAGAAAAGAACATTCTACATACTGTTTTTAAAACTGCTTTCAATTTTGCAATATAGAGGCTTCCTTATTTAAAATTTCTGCAATAAAAAGCAATGTAGGGAGAAAATGAGGTAAGTCACACTAATCAACAGATATGAATTACTTTCTTAAATGTGTTGGGAAAATTTTTTCTGCAGAGTAATTTGTTATACAACTAAGCACTTTTTCCTGTGAATAAGTACACTGGCAGCCATATCCAGAAAGATGACCAATAAAAATTATGGAAGTCTATGGAAGTCTAGGAAAGAGACCTAGAGCCATGGATGCTTTCTTCCTGTTTAGACCAGTTCAGAGCTGACACCAGGCCAGTGAAGGAACTTCAAGATTGTTCCAGAACAGGGAACGCACCAAAAGATTAGCCTCATTTAATCTTTTACATTTTGCTTTCACTCAAGAATACCTTTATTTAGGTGAACACTCAAAGGAAAATCAAAACTCAAACCTTCACAAATGTCATGAACTCTTCGACTTTGTCATTGGTGAGCAGCAGCTTCTTCTGTACAGTTTCCAAAGCCTGCCCACTCTGTTTAGCCAAGCCATGTAGTTGTTGAGATGCAGTAGTCTCAAGTTCAGTCATGGCACATTCAGTCTCAATCATTTTGCTCTCTAGATTGGTAAGCTTGAGATCCTGAAATACATCCGCAGAGAAACAGCAGTGATATAATAAAAGCTTATAGACAGGTATGGCAGACCACAAACAAACGAATGAACAAACCAACCTCCCACACAATGGTTAACATCACAGAACATTCAACTTGCAACACATAAAATGTAATTTCATGGGAAAAAGTAATTTCATTTTCAGTCATTATATCCATGTTTCAGCATCTAAATTTCAGTGACGTGACTGAATTAAATCAGAGAAACACATTACTATTATTCCGCTTTTTTTTCCCTTTCTGTATTTAAAAAGTCTAAGCTGATGAACTTGCAACTTTTCATTTGAAAGTGAGGTATGAAAAGGTTCCACAGTGGAGCCATCACAACTCTAATATACCTTTTTCTCCAACTCATCTTTAGCCTTGTGATACATCTGCTCATACTGAGACTTCTCTTTTGTAGCTACATTAAGTCTTTGTTTCAGCGAGTCGATGGAAGTTTTTTTGTTTGAACAGTCTCCAGCCAGTGCCTTTACCTGAAATAATGAAAGGCCAAGAGCAATCGACTATTACAATATAAAACTGAAAAATGGAAATAAAATCAAAACTAAGCTTACCTACATTGCATAAACATACTTGTATTATATAAATAATTCGATTAAAGTACCTTTTCCTGAAATTAGTCTTTAATAAATCTCTACTGCTGATCCAGTAGAGATCAGTTTGCACACAATCTTGTTACATAGTCTTGACTTGTATTAAGCGTAAAGAAAAGCTCTTCATTTGCAGAGCTGTTTGTTGATATATGTTACTGTTACAGTGTATGCAAAAGGGAGCAAACCACAACTTCCACTCATTTCTTCCATCAGAGGTAAAAACATTAATTAAAACTCAGCTGAGAAAATGATAACTGTCTACAAGTTAATAGTCTGTAAAGCCTCTTAGATAATAATTATCACTTTGCCATACAATGCAAACAGTGATTTTGGGTAAAATGAAATAGACCAACGCTCCTAGAAAATCATTTAGCTCTCCTGACAGTATTAATCACAAAGTTTTCCTGACAATGTCGAATAACAGGGAATTTCTTTGATCTTCTGCTGAAGATAATGTAAAATTTACCAATTTGATTTTCCATATGGAATAATCAAATTAATGTATGGAATTCAATTCTCTGGAATCTGAGAAATGCAGTGTTTAAAATACTCAAAGAACAGCATTAAAGTACATCGTTCTACTCAAAATCTTTCGTCTAAAACCAAAACCAGGTATTTCTCTCATGTCATACTTTAGCTCCCTTGCCTACTCATGCTCTCACTCTCTGGCTGCAGATTTCTTAATAAAACCTTATCTTTGGCATGGAGGGTAAGAGAGTAGCTCTCTCTAGAGCTGAAAGTGCTATGTGACTGTAAGTAGAGATAGTGCCTGTGGTATTCAGCAAGCACCCGCATTCTAGGAAAACAAAAGCAAATTGATAAATTGTTTATTTCTATTTTGGGGTCATACGCTGCATAACCTCACAGACAACCAAATATTATAATCTTTTTCTGGAATTAGAGGCCAAAGCGCAATACATTGGTTGAATAATATAGAAATATGCCAAAACATATACAAGTTCTTCTACCTTTGGTGAAATCATCCTAGAATTTTGCAGGAGAACATGATTTGCTATAGAAATTAAGCTCTACCTACACAGATAGAATTTCATTAAGCTAAGAACTGTGAATCATTCATAATATTGCAGTAGACAACAGATTAACATATTAAAGCATTTAACTACTATAGCCAGAAGAGGTGCGTGGACTTCATTAGCATATGTCATATAAAATCACCCTTGTTTCAGGTCTACTGTATTTGATGAACTTACAGTGCATAAAACTAAATCTCACTACTTACAGCATATCCTTGCAACTCAGTGTTCTGAATACTTTAATATTTAATTACACCTTTTATGAACATACATTAAATTATGCTGAATCCATCCAAGCTATCACCATAGTGATAGTGGAGGGAATTACACCCTTAAATTAACTGTATGTTGTTTGCTTAAAGCAATATATTGATTTAGTATGTATAGTGTGTTGAAATGACTTCTGTAAATCCACCAGCTTTTGCTTTTCCTAAAACTATCAATAGCAAGAAAGAAGTACCTTTCTCTCAAGACTTTCTAATGTTTCATTAGAGGTTTTCTCATTTTCTTGATTTGCTTTTAGACGAGACCTTAAGTCTTCTATCAAATGTCTTTTCATATTAAGGTCCCTCTCCAATCGAGAAATCCTAGAAGGGAAGAAGTCACACTGCATGTCACTGTTAGAAAATATTGTTAATATGCAACTATTTTAAACAACTAAAAAGTATAAATGCAGTAGACAAAGTATCACTCCTGTAGCTTTAGAATACTTTTTAAAATAAAAGCTGATGCAATTCCTGCAATTTACCCTATTTGCAATTCTTGCAATTTACCCTATTTGCAACAATTAAAGCCAGTTTCAAGTCTCTTATTAAACAGACCTATTTCTAAATATGCAATTTATTTGTGATTTGCTTTTTGCTGTGGTTCATGCTTTAACTTGTCTGATCTGAAATCGTAATAATTCTTCTTAAGCTATTATAAAAAAAGGCAAAATAGCTGTTGAAAACAAAATTTAATTAATTAATTTTTTTTGGATGTCTGAAGCAGGTATCATTCAAACACTACTTTGTACAAAATTATTTTTAAAAGAAAGTAAAAGGGAGAAGTCTCCTTTCATCCAACTGAGTAATACACAGAAATACATGAAAAACCTCTATCCCTATAATGTCAGATGAGATAGTAATTCTTAAAAACTGCAAAACCTAGAAAAAACATCAGCATTTTTCAGAAACTTCCCCAAAAAAGAAAATCCCATGTACTACAATGTAATCTCTGCTCAATGAGAAAATTATGCCTTATACAATGCCTCCACACTTATGATACAAATTAATATTTTAAATATAAACATAAACAATACCTGAATATGTTCAGACTTCTGGATTTTTATTTTTTTTTAATGAAGGCAAAATGAATGATGGTAATATATACAGGAATAAAACATTGTTGATACCATGTCAATACCATATTAAAAAAAAACAGGAAAATAGTGCATCTTAAAATTTCTTGCATCTACTTCACATTTATACTATTAATGTTATTTTGTTGATTATATCTTAACAGTTTATGAAAAAGCAGTATCTGTTTTATAAAGCAATCATGTTAACCAGTAACTTTATTTTAAATTTAAGTTTAAGGCTTATGGTGGAAAAATTCAGTTTCATTTTGAAACAGAAAATACACAATGTACACAATTTAACAATTTTAAGAGTTCTTTATTTTTGAAATGAACTAATTTCAGATAAGTAAATTTCATTCTTTCTACAAATAAAAAAATTAGAATGGTTAGAGGACTTAAACTCTGGGACAGACAAGTAATTCACAGATATACTAATAGGTTATGTTTATATAGTAATATAATTGAAGAACACTATTACATCAGTTAAAGTAGGCAGAATAAAAATTTCAGTTGAATACTTCACAACAATACATGTGAATTTCAAAATGAGTAGTAAACCTTAATTAATTCAAATAGGAACAAATACAACTGTCCTTTTGAACTTTTCATGAATATAAGACTGGATATTTAATCTTGTTTAAGCATCTGAACCTTGACATGTCTCTTAGCCCCTAGGCAAAGAATTACTGTATTTGAAAGACTGTGTTTAACAGTGCTGAGGAATTCATTTAGATTTACATCAAGGATAAAATAGTCTACTCTAGGGTCTGGGTATTCTTATTGCAATTCAGATACTGTACCTAGGTAATCACTCATCAGTTTAAACAAAATGCAATTTTAGCATGTACTGCTCCAGTTTCTAAAAAAAACCCCTGTAACAGTTCGCAAGATTGCAGTAAAAAGAATAATAAAACATTCTCTTAAAAATCTATCTAAGAATGGTTAATGTTGTAACAATTATACAGCTGCCACTGGGTGGCACCAAACACAATGGATAGAAGAGTGAACATACTTTGCTTGTAGTTCCCGAATCCGTTCTTCTTTTTCCTGGACTTCGTTTTTTAGTGACTTAATGGTGGTTGATTGCTTAGTGATTTCATTATTCGAATTCTATATTGAAAAATATTAAAATATAAATAAAGCAGACTGAATATTATCACAGTCAACAGTAAATTTGTTTGAAATAATGGGCTGTGTAAACTTCCACATATTTTATGAATGCTCTTCAAATTAATGGGGACAAAAAGAGTTTTCTTACTTTCTAGCTACCCTTAAGCAAAAGTACATTCCTTGGAAAATATGATCAAAATCAGTACTTTTCCATTGCTCTAATAATGTATGATTAATAGATGTTCCACAGGACACCTGCAAGTCCAGTGCACCTACCAGGACCACATTTTCTCTTGCATAGCGTGGTCAGTTGAAAAGGTAACAGAAAAGAAGAGAAATAAAATCGGATCTTCATTTGAACTACATCTTTGAATGGTATAGTTCTACAGCACAAGGGACCTACATCTATAGAGCGTACAAGATGATCTACAAGAGCAGTTGTTTTTGTGTCCCTTGAAACTCAAAGCACAAGACAAAGACATTTCCATTTGGGCACAGTAACACAAATCCTACATTTCAGTAACAAAAAGGTACGATCCTAACTTTCAGGCATGTGTAATTCCAGTGAAAGAGAGTTATACAGTTGTTGGCCTTTCCTCATCGTAAGTAGTAGGATGTAAAAAAAAGCCTCAATTCGTCCATGAAAACACACAGATAATCTACCCAAGATTTAAATACAGAACAACTGTATTTAAACAACTCTAAAGAAATAAAAATACAAAATTTAACTAAGTAGCCATCTTAACAATCTGAGCATATGCATTGAATGTCATTGCTGAAAATGGCAGCTCAAACATATCGCATATAGAGATTTCAGAAATCCAAAAGGTGTTGCCAAAAGATACATATGCGTTAAGTGTATGCACAACATCTATGTGTGCATATATGCATTCAGGTTCAGCCACTGTACTAAAGCTTTTTACTCATTATGTATAAACAATAAGTGAACAGATCAGACATGCTGTAAACAAAGATACTTCAGGAGAATTTCTCTGCTCAGTGCAGACTTGTAACGCCTATTAACATTAATAGGAGTATTGTACATAACTCTGTGCACCTCAAGGGGAGTATATATTCTTGTGTGCATAGTTAGATGTAAAATATTGTTCTTAATAACTTGTCTAGTCTATTTACTATTAATGTGAGGTATAACCAGAAAATTGTTAAAATGATGTATGCTAGCAGAATATTCCTGAGTTTCCTGAGACCTGTTTGCTGAGCTTGAGCTTCATTAGCGTGAAGCACAGCACCCAGTTACATGGTTTACACACCAGATATGAACTTGCATACTTAGGTGGGCCTCTGCACATGCTCAGAGGCAAAGACATACGCTTATGGTATTTTGCTTCCAAACTCACTACCCACACCTAACACATTTCTTCCTATTGGCAAAGATACAAGGAGTCATTATATACAACATAAACAAACACTGCAAAGATAGCTCTGAGAAAAAAAATGAACTAACAAAACCAGGTACTTTGAGATTTTGAGCTATAAGGAAAGCTTTTGCCGCTTCCACATTCAGACATTTAGGAGAATAACTTTGTATCTCCTTTTTAAGAATGCTAGATAGCCTGGAACAATAGTTGACAACTTTTGCCAATTTCTTCTGTTAAAAATGACTTACAAGACTTAAATTTTTGAAAATTATTAGGTCAAAATAAGGCTAAAAATTTCAGTAACTTGATTTAAGTAGCTTTTGAGGCCTTTATAGTCAAAACTCTCATCCAATTCAGCAACCAGTGAATTTACTCTACTAATCTGGATTTGGGGTCACAGGCTATGTTTATTCTAAATGTAGTTTTGCATACATGGTTTTTTACATTAAAAATGTAATAAGTATTTAAGAAGGAATTAAAAGTCATGTTAGTATTTTTGACATCAGATTTATATATGCTTACTAAATGTTTCCTCTGCTGCAGAAACAAAAAAACCTTTGATTTTTTCAGCAATATATTTTGCAGTTCACATCTGGCAGACAAATAAAGTAGGCTTCTAGCATGAGTGTTACTCTCAGAGTATTTTACAAAAAAAAAAAAAAATCCTCATTTTTTATTTTTCTTTCATAGAGCAATTGACTACTAGGTTTCTGGATAATGAGGACACTCATCTAAAAGGAACAACCCTAATTAGCAGAAATTACCACTCGCCAGCAGCAGAAGCAGATTAGTCAAACCCAAATCTAAAATCAACACTCAAGAAGTCAGCATGTATGGTTTCAAGATCTCTTTCTCATCATTAAAGTAGATCAAATTATGTGGCTTTTCATGGCTACTCCCTGCTGCCCTCATCTCTTTATCAATGTGACCTACCTTTACTAATCCCTGAATTTAGATGTTACACATCCAGTGTGCTATAGCCAAGATCTGTAATACTATGATTACCATCAACAGCTAAGAGGTCTGAGCACTACCCACACCTTGTGTGCTAGCACAGCTAATCCAGTACTCAGAGCCAGAGCCAGCTATATCACTCATGTAATATGTCCTTTTCTTCTTCAAAGTTGATCCTTTGGCAGCCAGCTTGCTAGTGTGCCATTTCTTCTAGCAGCAAGAAGCTGTACCATTTTGACCTTTTCTCTTTCCTCAAATATTAAACACAAAATGATGGAAAAAAACAACTTTAAGACATTCTGTTGCACATATATTTCCTCCAGTGAGAAAAGAAGAAGAATTAATATGTTCGAGCCAGGCCACCTGCTGAGAAAGCTCTCAGATCAACACAGTCCAGCATCTACATCATCCACATATAACAGAATCACTGGAGACTGAAAAATGAAATCATCAACAACTTAGTATTTTCCTATCAACTAATCTACAAAAATACAAATACAAAAAGAATGATGTCTCTTTGAAGACAAGAATAGTAGTGACGTATAAGTAACATAACACTGTTACATTACATGAGCTGCCCCACCAGCCCAAATTCCATGCTCCCCTTTCACAGACAGCTACTGCTTACCTCCTCTTAAAGGAAGCAAGGAATCAACACAGTTCTCATTGAAGTAATTCCACAGCACTTTCCAACAAGATGCATTTAATCATTGTGTGAAAACTCAGCAAGCCTCCCTGTCTGGCCTATTTGATCTGCAAAAATTGTTTTAATTGTAACTTTTAGTTCTCCTGCTTAATGACTACATTTCTACTTAACATCGAAGGTTATCTATTAGTACCTAAGCTGCTAATCGTTGGCTAAGATATATAAATGATATTCATATGTGAGTATATATATATCTGCTTGACCCAGTTATGAAATACTGTTCATACAAATTATCCTCAGCACTAGATAATCTGTTCTGTCACCTTTAGTTTCCACTGCAGCTGTTTCATCTCTAAATCAATGTTCTTTGAAGGAGCTGGTGTGGCTTCACTCTTGCCAGCAGTTCGAGACAGATGTTCTCTCAACTTCAATTTTCCTTGTAAATCTTCCTTCTCCTGTTGCCACTTGGCCAGGTTGGAGGTCAACACCTGTTTTACAAACAGAAGAAATAATCACAATTGCATCCTAAAAATATTTCTGCTTGATCATATGACATGCTTCTCTGGTTCAGAATTCAAGAGGAATGAAACAGTATGTATTATCTGTAATTACATTGCATAGTGGTTGAATTCTCTAGTCCATGCAAAGATCAAATCTGGCAGGAAAGAGAAGTCAACTAACATTAAAAACAAGCAATTTTTTAAAAGGCAAGCTAATTCAATTTTGACTGTACACATTGCTATTTTTACCATGACAGGCAAAAATTATCATACAAAACTGTAACAGTAGTTACTGTTGAAACCTGTTTACCTAGAGCCTCTCTGGCATTCAGCAATTATTTCTACACAGAGCATGAAAAAATACCAAGGCGTCTCAGACACCAATGCGTATTAAAGGTAGTTAAATGTCAAATCTGTTTTAATGGTGATCACGGTAAGCTCACTTGAATTCCTGTGTTGACAACTGCTATAAAACATATACTCTTCTTTTGGCTTTTGTTTTGATATTTGTAGGGCTTGTAGAGGTTAAAGCAAAGTGGACCAGCTGTACTAAATATCTTCTGGTTGGCTGGTCTTTACTCACGTTGTGTTATTTCTTCCCTTTCACATATATGCACCATAGCCAGGGAACCACATATTCCATAACCTTGACTCTAGGGCTGAGGTACTTAAGTGGTAAAAGCCAAGCTGGAGCAGGACAGGATAACAGATGTTAGTTGTTTATTCCACTGGGTAGGTCTTACCACCTTATACTGCAGCCAAAACACTTCTCATTTAGCAACATAAATGCTAAGTCCAATTAGCAGACGAGGCTTGTTAGGGATTTAGTTCAAATAAATAACATGCAAACAAACTCTCAGTCTTGTTGCACTTGATTGACAACTGACAGGACTTATTCAATCTTTGTAACAATATATTTCACAGTACTCCTTATAAAGATAATCTTCTAAATAAAATATTTGTTTTAATTTAAATAATATTGACTGTCATTCTGCAAAAAGGGGAACAGAAATAATTTTCATGCTAGTGGTTAACTTTCACGAATCTGTAGTCAGCCGAAAGCCACCAATGGCCTGACAACTCTCTGCTCCTTAAGAGGGTAACTATAGTACTATCTTATTATAAGGATATAAACTACCTTATTAAATAAGGTAGTTTAACATAAGGAACAATTATACAAAATGGTAGTGAAATCTCTCAAAGGGCAAAAAAAACTTGCTTTGTGAAGAATCCTGATAAGAAGCTGGAGAAGATACTACAGCTTGAAATGACTAAAAGTGTGCCCGATTATATGCTGGTACACAAAAAATCATGGGTGAGAAGGTTAAAGATAGTGTTCTATTTCCAGGCATTTTATTATTTAACTCCAAAACAGATTTTATACTGTTTGATGATATTAGAAAAAACTTTTTATATACATGTGTTTATACACACACACACTTCCATACCAATCATCTGAAGATCACATATATACACAAATAAAAGAAAAACTACTTATGCTCATGTTTATTCCAATTATGAATGACATGAGAATGCTTGTAGATTTTGCATTAGCTTAAAAAAATATCATGGATACAAGAAAATGCATCCTGTATTTAAAGTTAAAACTCTAGTATTTCACACTTAAGTGCATTTACTAAAGCCAATGGGCAGTTTACATATTTATTTGACATAAGTACTGTTCTTAGTAAAGGGGTTAATCTTTCCATTCTCTTCTGCATCTGCTGTCATTATTGAACAAGAGATAAATAGTGCTACTGTATTTTCTAATTAGCTATTCCTTAATCTGATATATTATTCCCACAATTAATACAGTCTGAGTAAAAGACAAAATGAAGGCTACTTTAATAAGCAAAAACAGTAGTAGTACAGAAAGATATAAGGATTAGGTTAATTTGTCCAGTATAGCCAATATTTCTACATGCAGAATTTCATGATTCAGTGTCTCTATAATAAATTATTCATAAAAAGAAAAGCAAAAAAAAAAAAAATCATAGCTAGATCAATATCTCTGATTAAAATTAGAAATGCCCCCATATCTGCCCAAGATAGCTCATGACTCTCAGGAGCTTCTCAGGCTACTGCTGCCACCAAAATGCATCTGGTCTAAAATGCCGTGATTGCAGTGGCCACATTCTCAAAAATGACAGCAAATATATTGAAAAAGAAAGGGCTTTCATGGGAGAGGTGCCAAAGAGGGCAGTGCTATGTTGTTATAGAATTTACTTAAGTGAGGAGGTAGGAAAAATTGTTTAAAATATGAATGAATGTACGTAAATTCAGAAACAGCATCAGAACTACGGGGGTGAAGTGAAAGTAGTATATGATGTACAAGACAAACACCCCCCAAGTTGCAAAAGCAGACGAAGACAGACACACAATTGCAATCAGAGATATAGAATCATAGAATCGTTTAGGTTGGAAAAGACCCTTAAGATCAGCAAGTCCAACCATAAACCTAACACTGCCAAGTCCACTAAACAATGTCCCTAAGTGCCACATCTACACATCTTTTAAAT